TCAGTAGCTAAAACCAGGCTTACGCTTGTCTTTAATTTAATTAATTAAAACTCATTGTCTTCAGCAAATTATTTTAATGTATTTTGCCATGTAACTTTAAAAAATCATAACTCTGGTGTTATTTACAGTTCAATATCAAGCTATACCTCATTGGAAAGGAAAAAGAATACCCTTTCGAAAAAGAAAATATTTTGGTGGTAGGAAACCCATAATAATCCACCACAAAAAAATTAAAAACACATATTTTGCATAAAAATTTTTAAAATTTTAAGAACGTCATTTAGCTAGGAAACTTCTTTATTTTGGGTGATATGGTAGTAAGAAATTTTTTTCATCAATATCTAAGCAAAAAAAACACAAAAATCGTTCTAAAATATGGAGCGACTAGAAAATTTTCTCCAAATTTTTTTCCGCACACTGTCATAATTATGCTAGTTAGATTATCACAATTACCATAATCCCTTGGCGTCAACTCGTGACCACATGTTTACTTCCCTAACTAAGACGCTTTGTTTCCTCGATTCCCAAAACAATATCGAGTTAGAGACAAGCAGACATGAATTTGCTGATAGAATTCATCAAAATAAGCAAGAATTTGACAGCCAAAAGCGAAGCGAAGGCAAAACGGGAAGGAAACCGTCGCCGTTTCAAGAACATGTGGCACAGAGTTCGGCGATCGCCGATTTACTGCGATTTACATGCACAGATTCTAAGTGTTTCCTTACCTCAATTTTCGCGTTTGTTTTGCTTGTTATCCTCCAAAATCCTTCAGAATAGTTTGCTTGACTTGTATTTGGTTGACATTCGTCGATACAAACTTTCATTATTCGCAAAACCGGCTCACAAAAATTCCCCGCGACTCGCCATAAAATTCAAAATTTTCGAATTCTCGGTGTGTGACGGTCAACAGTCCACAGGGGCTGGAACTAGGCAGGTGATTGGCCAAATTTGGGAGCAATCGGAAGTAACACAATTTTTTGCGAAATATCTTTGGTCACCGTTCCTCAAGCCCCGATTTCGGCGACCCCGGAAGCCAATTAAACCGCATTTTAAGTTATTAAGTACAAAGACTCTGTCTTTCAGTAGCATACAACATTGTACATCTCAGCTTCAGACCAATTACTGTTTTAAAACGAAACGAGCTACAGCGCAATGCTGCATGCGATGCAAAAAGTTGTAACCTAAAGCACAATTCTGAAAGCGTCTTTCGCTATTTTGCAAGGGCAGTAAATACTAACGAGAGTTTAAAATGTAATAGAAAAGATCTCAGTACTATCTGTAGTTATCGAAGCCTTCAAAAAGTCGGTTATGTTCCTCTGCACACCGTTCGAAAATCATTGTTTGGTATACCGGCGACTGGGCTTTAAACTCGCACCTTGCATAGCTCATCAGCCAGACCACAGGGCGCCCACACAATCTGTTTGTGTAGCCGATTGTTATTTTATAGTAAATGTACTGGATTTACCGTTTGCTTCACCTATAGCGATATATCGCTAACTATGTATATAAATCAATGATAAATAAACGTTGAATTACCTTACCTGTGGTGTATAGTCGTCCTTTTGCCTCAAAAGCGGTTTTTGAGCGATTTTGAATGAATTTGACTTTCGCCGTTGACTGTTCCATATAATATTATATGGAACAGTCAAAGGCGAACTCAAATTCATTCAAAATCGCTCAAAAAACCGCTTTTGAGGCAAAAGGACGACTATACACCACAGGTAAGGTAATTCAACGTTTATTTATCATTGATTTATATACACAGTTAGCGATATATCGCTATAGGTGAAGCAAACGGTAAATCCAGTACATTTACTGTAAAATAACAATCGGCTACACAAACAGATTGTGTGGGTGCCCTGTGGCCAGACTAGACGAAGCTAGACGAGATTCACCTGATCACCGTAGTGTCCGTAATAAAGAGGTTAAGTTTATATAAATTTACTCTCTGGGGCCGAGATTTACTGTCCGTTGTCTGTATTATAGAGGGGTTTTTTTGAGAAAATATAGGAAAATTTTGTCGGGACATTGGAAACTGTCCGTAATACTGGTAATAGAGAAGTGTCCGTACCGAGAGGTTCGACTGTACAATTGATTGAAACTTATCAGTGTGCAATTTTCCTTAATGCGCTTTACATTAAGCCAAACAGAACAAAAATGAATAAAATGTACAAGCAGAGAAAAAGACCAAATGATAATAGATGTAATAATAATAATAATTAATAATAATAATAATAATAACAAAACAACAATAATAATGATAATAATAATAAACGAATTATTAGAAAAGTGATGGGGGAGGTGGGGAATTTTCAGCTTACACAATTTTTTTTTTTCGCTCACTGCTTGTGCAGTAATAGAGAGGTGTCCGTACCGAGAGGTTTGACGGTACAATTAATTGAAACTTATCAGTGTGCAATGTTCCTTAATGCGCTTTACATTAAGCCAAACAGAAGAAAAATGAATGAAATGTACAAGCAGAGAAAAAGACTAAATGATAATAGATGTAATAATAATAATAATAATAATAATAATAATGATAATAATAATAAACGAATTATTAATACCCTACTACTCTACTGCGCTTAACAGTAAGTTTAAAAGACTAAAAATGAATAAAAAATTACTAACAGGTAAAAGATCTAAAAAATAATGATAATAAAATAAATAATAAAATAAACAAAATAAATACTCTACTACAAATTAAAAGCTTCTCTAAAAAGATATGTTTTAACACTGGCATTTAAAATTTGAAAGAGAAACACTGGATATTTTACTGGGAAGAATGTTCCAGAGCTTCGGGGCTGCCCCTAGCATAGGAACCTCTAGCATAATTTTTCGCTGGATCTAAGGGAATATCTGGTTGATGTTGTCCGGCTGATCAATCTGCAAATATAATCAGGGGCCATGCCGTGAATAGCTTTTGAAGTAATAACGAAAAATTTAAACTCCAAGCGGTACTTAATGGGCAGCCACTGAAGCTGAGATAAGACTGGCATTATAGGGTTATATGGCAAAACTTAGTTTGCTTGAGAATAAGTCTTGCAACTGCATTTTGTGCGTCTGCTATGTGCTAACCTTTTTATATTATATTTTACGCATAATGTAATGTCTAGCTTGTTTTAAATAATTATTTTCCTTTCTCTCTTTCGTTCAGTCAGCCGAATTACCGAAAACATGCAGTGAAATAAACCAGAACGACGCAAAAGCCCCAAGTGGCAGTTATCAAAGGAATACCGCGACGTTAATGACTTATTCATGCAGTCATTCATTGGTCAAACCATTTACATGATTACTAATTTGAAACGAGAAATGCCAAAGTATAAAGCAACTCAAGTGCGGAACAATGTTATTTTAATCATACTGATAGCGTTACAGGTATTTCAGCCAGTTTATACATATCTCATAAGGATTTTGCAAAGCATTAAAACAATAGTTAAATATGTAATCCCTAGATTCTTATTTAAACCCCTCCGTCTATAATTTACAATACTGACAGTAATAAATACAGGGTAACTTGTAGTCGGAAATCCTTTGAAACTCCACCGGAGCATGGGAGTGCGGAGTGCGTGGAGGAATGCCAGTGAATATAGAAGACAGGTAATTCTTCATTCCAACCATTGCAAGGTTTTCTTTTATGTATATACTGACTTTAAGTCACCCTATACTCTATTGAGAGTTTAAAGCCACAGGTGGCCCACGGAAGAAAAACCTTTGTCTCATATTGCCTTGAAACCCGGGGGCTTCTAAGCGAGATTTCACCGAAATGGCGGGGCAATGATCAAACCTTTTTTTTGTATCCTAAATTACCAAGATGGATGTTTTAAGGCCCTTCTCGTTAAAGTTTTTCTCCTTTTTGAAGGCTCTCTCTTTCTCTCTCTTTTTTTAAGGTACGTTATTTTTGGTCATGGAACTATATCTCATCAGAGGCTTGAGCTAACGCTGGTTTGTATTTTAAGAAGGGTACTTAACCCGATAACTGTCTTCTAAAAAACATAAAAAAAACTTTGTTTTAATTTAACATCTTGCGCCCATAGAGAAACTAAATGGTTATTATTTTATGACAAATCTGTGGGTGCTTAAAAAAAACTAATATTTCAGCCCAAACGTTTTCAACCTTCTGAATGACGAGCATTTTAGCAACCAGATATCACACTCTTTTGTATTGCATTGTCGGTGAAAGGGTAAGACATTACGTCAATCGTTCACGAAAAATTGGCTGTGCACTGAAAACAACTTCGGTGCAATCCAACATGGCGGTTGATCTCAGATAGTGGCTAACTTTTAAGGCTTCTCATTCAGTTAAAACCTTAATCACTGTTAATAGCTTTATACTTCTTTGATCGCATCCGCTGATTGTTGGAAATCCTACTCAGTCCCCCTTTTTTTCTGCATGAAAGATTAGTCTATAAATAGCCTGGTAAAAATCTTAACACGTTATAAGGGAGATTTACATTCCTGGATGATGGGCTCCTGACTAGATTTGGAAGGCCCTACTGTTACACAATTTTTTTTTTTTTTTTATGTTTAAAGCTCTTTTTATGTTTGTTTTAATTCTTTCAGTATTTTCTTCGCTTAGTTTCTAAGTCAATAACTATGCATTTATGTGTTTATGTTACTTTTAAGGCTCGTCATTCAGTTAAAACCTTAATCACTATTGATAGCTTTATACTTCTTTGATAGCATCCGCTGATTGCTGGAAATCCTACTCAGTCCCACTTTTTAGTTTCGTGAAAGATCAATCTATAAATAGCCTAGTAAAAGTCTAAACACACTGTAAGAGAGGTTTACATTCCTGGATGATGGGCTCCTGATTAGATCTGGATGGCCTTACTGTTACACACCTTTTGTTATAATTAAAGCTCCTTTTTTGTTAGTTTTAATTCTTTCAGTATTTTCTTGGCTTAGTTTCTAAGTCCATTACATGCTGATTTAGCTGTTTATAATACTTGTTCCGTCTTAAACTGTCCGATTATTGGGGATGCTCCTTCTTCTCCATATCAATCAGCACTAGCTTCAGGTGGCACGTTGTAATACGGATGATATTCATTGTGTTTGTTTACATCCAAATATGGTGCATCCCTTTCCATTATCACCTCCATTTTTTCGATCAAACGGTAGAAACTGGGACGAATGGAAGGGTCTTCGTTCCAACATTCAGTAATCAGCTCATATCTGTTATGAATAGAAAAAAAGAACTATTCAATGCTTAGAAGAGCTCCAGTCAATTATTAGACAGTGTCAATAGACCTCTTTATAGCTTGTATGTTTTGGTTTCCAAAAAGAGGTCCCAGGGGAATTGGACCGTTAGACATGACAAATATTGGGAAAACAAAACATTCAAGCGAAGGAGGTCTATTGGAATAAAAGAAATTTTTTTAGTAGAATATATGGGCTTCTTAGCTTCATGAGTTTACAGGGAGGCTCCACCCTGAGGTCCAACCCCTTTTATACAGCATTTTTGACAGAAAAGGTACCCCTTTCATATACATTCCTTTCCTGCCTACCTTGAAAAATGGTACGACTACTTCACTTTTTAAGCCATTAAACCCTTAACATAAAGCCTACAATAAAGGTGCATCTGTTTAAAATATCTTTAATGTAAATTACCGAAGGTACAAAATGTCGTACCATTTCACACATTTCATACTCGTGAAATTCCTACCTTTCCATATACATGTGGCCTAAAAAGGTACTCCTTTTGGGTGAAGCTTCCACGTAAAGCCCATTAAAATGGGCTCTTGGAACGTTTAGGTTATCACGTGATTCCCCATTCCTTCATCCAGCCGTTATTATTTAGATCTCTGCCCCCAGGTCCAACCCCTTATCCTTTTGAGTATCGTTTTTGACAGAAAAGAACTTTAACTTTATCCCTTAAGCTTTTCATTGCTGAAAAATGCACTTCCTTTTTAATATGAATAAATAACAAACTAGAAAATTTGCTCGACTTTTTCACAGCCAAAAAATCTTATCTGGTTCTCTTAAGTCATTTTACAGATCATATACTTCGACTAGCAAAATTCCTACACCAGAAGACTGAGAGAGGTACCCCTTTTGGGGGGTGCCTCCCCAGTACAGGGAGTACTCTCCCGGCCCAAGAAAGAGATTAACCTGATCACCGCTAATGTTGCCTTTATTGACCATAAAGCTTGGAGGGTTTCCTTGTTCAAAGAGTGAGGATCTTAACAAAAGTTTTCCGTTGCCGCCCGTCTGGTCAGTATTGAATATGATCAAAGAAGGCGTTAAAATATTTGACGAATTTGTATGCTGTACAGCTCGGTGTGAAATGTAACTGAGCAGACGCATAGAAAAATCGAATCTGTTAAATCTAAGACCACTCTAATCAAGAAACGTACACGTCATCGGAGCACATGTCAGGCCTTTCCATGCGATAACCAGTACCGAGCAGTCGATACAACTCTGAGTTGGTCAGCGTGGGGTATGGTACGCCTCCTGACGATTGCGAGAAACAAAATAAATGATTACATATCGGCAACTGAATACATGCAATTTTCCATTAGACAGATTTCTATTAAAGATGCCTTCTTAGTCGATTGTCACTTCTCCTTATATAAACTCAATAAGGCCATTTTGCAAAAATGGTTGATTGAAGGGAGGTCTGATATATAGCCAGTGCATTTAAATGTGTAATAAAAGAAGGCAGGGTGATTAACAATAAGGCTCTCGTTTCCAGTCATCACTGAAATGCTCGCAAATTTAATAAACAATTATTGGATGAGGTTGAGCATGATATCATGAATTATCAAAACCGAGGTATGTGTTATCAGATAATACAGACACGAGGTTTTGATAATTCATGATATCATGCGAAAACCGAATTCAATAATTGTTTTATTATACATTTTTTAAACAATAGGCAAAAGAAGACATTCAGCCATTCTGTTTCTGAGGAGAACACTCCAAGGAGCTTGGTAACCAGCCAGACGTTGAACTTGGCATGATAAATGCAATATCTGCAGCAGATATTGCATTTATCATGTCAAGTTCACGAGCTATTGTGAATTGATTGAATGCTCTCGACCTATCAGATTTTTCATAGTGAGTCTGATGTATAATAATACGTGTTGTCACATACGGTTATCAACTAGGAGACGTCTCATAGCACTTAATCAATTAAAACAGAGCCCAGATCAAACAAGAAAATTCAAACTTGCCGCAAATGAAACATTATGAAACATTGTTTTCGCCCTTCCTGGTAGCAGTAACCTTGATAACAGTCGTTACATCGCACCATGGCAAAAGGGGAAAGGTGGGTTCAGGCACGGTCCCCTAGCTTAATTCCCTTGGAAGCTCAAAACTTTGCAGTGTGAAACCATTATCCTGCGAGTGGTACATGAGTTTTCAACATTTTGACATCATTTCTACGGTCGATAAGAGTCATAGACCATGGAAAATGTTTTTTTTTTATTTGTCAGTCACCTCAAAATTAACATGAGAACAATAAACTGCAAAATTACCGTCCACTCACCCAAGGTAGCCATTTCCCAAAGAACAACACCAAAAGACCAACTATGAAAAAAAAAAAACAAAGAGATTATAAATATGTACAGATTCACGATATTTAGATTGTTTATTTCCCTGTTTATCTCTTAATTCCTTCTACTTGTCGTGGACGAGCCCAAAATGCGTGTACTTTTGAGTTTTGGATGTAATTGAAAAATTTAGTTGAAAACTGTCTCAACGAGAGGAAACTGTTCACTGCATGTAAATCACTGCTTAACCTATCGAAGTGTGCCAGTCTCCCTCTACATTCCGATATTAATCAATTAATGGCTAAAGATTTTGACAAGTTCTTCCGTGACAAAATTAACTCCATTCGGCTTGAGATTGCTCGTCAGGGTAGCACTTCCGACGTTGGCGAATCCCACTTTGCACTTGAAGGCCCCTCTTTTTCTGAATTTCGTCTTCTTTCTAAAACCGAAGTTCATGAATTAATCAAATCATCTACAAAGACGACTTGTTCTCTTAACTCAAATCCTACTAGGCTTTTTACTGAGTGTCTTGATGTATTACCTCCTCCAATTACGAAATTAACCGTTCGCTGGAATTAGGCTATTTTCCTCTTATCTGAAAGCGCGCTTTGTTAAAACACTGCAAAAGAAGGAGGGTCTCGATCCCTTCTTTAAGAACTATACACCTGTGAGTAACCTCGCATATGCCTCAAAAATTGTGGAGACTGCGGTCGCCAAGCAACTTCAACATTATTTATTCAGCAATGATCTCTTCCCTGTTCTGTCACGATTTTGGAAGAGCAGTTCCCAGCGCCGAGATATACTGCGGCAAGTAAAACAGGTAATACCGTCATTTCGTTGCTATGACAACTCCGATGCCGTTGCAACCCTGATCATGACAAATTTTCATCTTTATCTAATACAACTGTTGTGGCAATTTTTCCAAAACTTTGTTTATGGCGACGTAGTTTATGCTCAAACTTGGCAGGTATTCACCCTGAAAAACTGTATCGAGCCACCTTTTAAGCAACCCGCATTTATATCTAAAGCGACACTTGGTGACGGGTCGTTTACTTGAGCAGCACCAAAACTCTGGAATGCATTGCCATTTGAAGTCAGAGACTCCAAGTCGTTGGACATTTTAAAATCAAAGCTAAAGACGCACCTTTTCCTTTAGCATTTTTATCATATAGTAGTATTATTAGGCAGT